AAAAGCAAGATCAGAATTCAGAAAAAAAAAATTCTCTTCCAAAGTCTTAGATGAGATTTTTGAAATGCATTAAGTTGAGGAAGAGATAAATCATCAACAATACTTCTTAAAACTTTCTGCATGAGCAGAAAGCTGATGCCAACACATGAATAAAAGAAATGGACTGTGTCTAATCTTTAACCAGAAAGGGGACCTAATGTTTAATCAATGGGGTGGAAATTCTGGTGGGAAATATAGAATTCTATGCTTTTGCCAATTCCTATCTCAGTCTCTCTCAATTGCTCAACTCTCCCTCCTCTATCAAAATCCTACCAGGGTGATTTCTCAAGAAGTCTTCTCTGACCTTCTCTGCTTCCACCACTCTGATGTCACACACACACACACACACACACACACACACACACACGCACACATGTCTTTGTGTGCACAGAAAGGAGGTTCTCTTTCAACTTTCCAAACACAAAGACTCATCTTTCATCTATTTCTTCCACACCACTATTTATTGGCCTATGAGTTTCTTGGGTGAGTGTGGGCAGAAGTAATCTTATATTTTTTTCATTTTTTTACCAGCATCCTGGCTTATAGCAACTGCTCAATGTGTTGTTCAATGAATGAATGAATGAATGAATGAATGAATGAATGAATGAATGAGAGAGCTAAAGCAATCAGGTGAGCCCCAGTTTAAGAAAGAAATAAAACAATGCTACCACTGACAGTCTTGAAAAAAAAATGTAAAACAAAAAACAAAAACAGTTCATGGAAGAATAATAATTAGCTATGCTTAGCTGCTGCTAAGGTTTTTGGTTTATTTTTCTTAGGGAGTGGTTTTAATAAATGAAATTAAGGCTAAAATTCAGTGCCAGCTATCATAAAGGGTACTTGGTGTGCATTGATTGAGGTTGAAATTTTCCATGTTCACTTTCCCTCTTTGTTTTCTTTCAAAGAGAGAGCAGGATAAGGTCATGTCCAAGGATGATCCAGCCCTCGGGGCCTGGAGCTCTGGGCCTGCTCTCTTCTATATCCCTCCTGAGCTTGCTTCCTAGCTGTCTTCTGATTGAAAGAAAGAAGAAAAGAACTGTGCTCTTTTCAAACTCATAGAGGCCAGACTCCTACCTACCAAGACTGTGGTGTGCCACAACTAAGTTTAGCCCCACTTTCTGGGTCTGAAGTAGTCATTTCAACCACAGGGGAAATCATTACCCCTGCTTGCCTAGATCTGTGTAAGAAGCGTGCTTCCAGACCCCGATGCTATAAAGGTGTATCTGCTTGTCCTAACTCCTTTCCAGCTTGGTACAGGTCTCCCTTTGCCTGCATACATTTTGCAATACCTGTTGGCTCTTAATCTTTGTTCACTCCTCTGACACACTTGCTGTGCTTGAGAGACGTGACCAGTACTTGGCTTAATAAATCTTCAGACTACTCGTCAGCCAGCAAAAAAGGGGCTGGGAGTCGGTGGACAGAGTATGAGAACCACCCAGGAAGAGCAGATTTCGCAGGTGGTCCCTTATCCGATTTGTTCATCAGAGGAGAGGAAGAGTAATGATCACCATTTACCCTTCAGACGAGAAAACTGCACCTAGGAAAGCTTTCTGTAGAGCTGAATGTTTGTTTGGATTATTGTAAGGGACTAATGTTTCAATCTTGCATAACTAGTAAAATTGGAAGCTGTTTCTATAGCCCTTGAAGTAGAAATTCTCAGATGCCATATGCAATATAATAATCCTAAATATATCCCATGGCAAAGACCAATATGCCCTTTGTGCATTTCTATTGTATTGCTGTTAGAGGGCACTTTTAAAAAATGATGGTAGCATTTGTTTCAAAGTCTTTACTTGATCATTAAAAAGTTGGTGCCATGTAAGCTTAGATATCCCATAGTTTGTATTCTATGAGAAACCCAAATTATAAACAAAAAGAAAAATAGAAGATATCTAATAGGAAGAAGACAGATAGTTCTCAAAAGACCATTCTCAAATGGGGAGGGGACCAAGAGATGGAGAGAGGAGAAGGGAAGAGAGAGAAAGGAAAGCAAATTAGGGTTTAAAATGTGCTAGGCACATGCACCAACTCAAGGAATGGAAGCGCCGTGTATTGCAAATATGTGCCAATAAAAATGCAATATAAAAAGCTCTTATGATTTACATCTACAATGCCCGCCCACAATTTCATGGCCGTGGAATGGGAGTGGGTCACGGGTGCTCTACTCATGAGTGGATTTGGCCACGGATGAGTTCACAATTTCATGCACGCGCTAGGAGGTGGGGCCTTACTGGCGGCAGGTCCCTGGGGGTGTGTCCCTCCCGGACTCCTCCCTTCTCTCCCTGCCTTCCTGCTGCCAGGTTTTCTTTTCTTTTTTTCTTTTTGAAACAGGTTCTCGCTTTGCGGTTCAGGCTGGCCTTGAGCTCACTTTGTAAACCAGGCTGGCCTCAAACTTGCAGCGATGCTTCTGCCTCCACCCCCAGAGTGCTGAGATTACAGGCATGTGCCTCTTCACCCGGCTTTCCTGCTGCCAGGGACTGGGGCCTTGAGTCAAAATTAACTTCTCCTCCTTTAAATGGTGGCTGTCTGATAATCTGTTCCAGAAAGTGATTAAGACAGGTGGAAATCTTGCATAATCTTGGTGTGGTGGCACATGTCCGTAATCCCAGCCCTCAGGAGGATTAGGTAGGAGGATTGTTGAGAGTTCCAGACCAGCCTGGGCTACAAAGTGAGCTCAAGGCCAGCCTGAACTGCACAGTGAGACTCTACCTCAAAAAGACCAAAAAAAAGGGGCCGGGGAGATGGCTCAGTAGAATAATCACTTGCCTGGCAAACTCATTGGCCTGAGTTCAATCCCCGGTTACACACACACACACACACACACACACACACACACACACACTTGTATCAATTAACAACATTCTAAAATATTATTGGTCATTAAAACTAGGAACCTGAGAGCCTTTCCCTAAGGGGCATAGCTCAGATCAGCTGATAGGTAAAGCCATGTCATATGAGAGGCGGAGCCTCTGGTTCAGACTACTAAAGTTGTCATTGACCGTACGGTGCACCAGAGACAGCAGAGAGGCCCTGAAGACTGGGGAGGTTACTAGTGCAACACATTCGAGTCAGCTAATCTCGAAATATACCCACCTGAAAAACCTTCGCCTGCCCCAGTGCAACTGTACTGTGAAAGGTTTTACTCTAATTTCATAACTAACGCCTGGACGTGATAGGCACAAAGTAAGGTCCCGTAATCCTGGACACTGTCGTAGGGGTTAAGGGAACCAATCCCTAGAGACTCTATGAAACCGAACGAAACACACTTGTCTCAGGGAACTTTTAGCTCTGCACAGGGTGAGGAGGTCACTGTCACCCGTGAGCCCCACGCTAGCCTTGTGTGACAGAACGACAGGGGGCGCACGACTGCCTTGCTCTTTCGGATGCTGGGGTCGCCCACAGCAATGCCGGGCCGGAGCTCGTACGCTGCCGGCTGCCGGCCCTTCGACCCTTCGGTAACGGTAACGGGACGCCCTCCCATAGGAAGCCGCTGGCTGGGCCTGGCCCGCAGCCGTGTCCCTCCCGGCGGGCGGCCCAGCGCGAGGCGGGGCGCTGCTCCCTGCCGCAGCCATTGGTCGGCCGGCCGGGGGGCGTTCACGCGCGCGGGTCTGGGCCGCGGTCCCGAGCGGCCGCTGCAAAGTTAAAGCCCGCAGCGCGGCCGCGGGAGCCGACCGCACGTGGACCTGAGGCGGACCCCGCGGTGCTGCGGCGGCGGGCTGGCGTGGCCGCCCTGGGACTCGCCACGGTGCCCGGTATGTACCCGCCCCGAGTCCCGGGCAGGCCAGGGGCACGCGGGGAGCTCCGGTTCCAGCCGTCGGGCTTCCTGGCACGCGGTGTCGAGGAGCCAGAGTTGAGTTCAGAGGGAGGACAGCCGGGGAGACCAAGCGGACAGAGCGAGCCTGGCCCGACCCTCGTGCCACCCCAGGTTGCCCCCGGGGCTGGGGCTGCGGACACAAACAGCCTTGAGCCGGTTGTCCCAGAGTTCGAACCTAACACCGGTATCCAGTGTGGGGCCCTGACTCTTGTGGAGGAGGCCCTGGGGTTGAGCAGTGGGCTCTGCAGGGCAGGGACGAGCTGTGGCTCTGTATGCCTGTCTGTGTCTGTGTCTGTGTCTGTGTCTGTGTCTGTGTCTGTGTCTGTGTCTGTGTCTGTGTCTGTATCTCTGTCTGTCTGTCTGTCTGTCTGTCTGTCTGTCTGTGTCTGTCTCCTCCTCCTCCTCTTCTTCCTCCTCCTCCTGTTCTTCCTCCTCTTCCTTCTCTTCCTTCTCCTCCTCCTCTTCCTTCTTCTCCTCTTTTCTTTCTCTCTTTTCCCTCTCATCTTTCTACCGCGGTTAAATAAATAAATACTGCTTCCAGACCCGGGATGGGGGGTGCTTGTAATCGCAGTACTCTGGAAAGCTGAGGCAGGAGTATAACAAATTCAAGACCCGCCTGGACAATTTAGCAACTTAGCTAAAATCTGTTGTAAAATTGAAAAAACTGAAAAAGCACTTGAATGTAGCTCAGTGCATAGGTTTTGGGTTCAGTCTCGGGGTGGGGACTGGGGGAGTTGATTACAAACCCTATTTCTGTAAAGTTCTATTTCCTTCTCCCATCTACTTTCCAGTCTAGTTCAGATCACCTTTTAATCGCACACACGGTATCACAGGTCCTCGAGGCCTAGGGACTCGGGGTGCGGTGGCCCGCGCGGGGGTGCTCGAGCAGCGCTGCTCCGCTGTCCCAGCTCTCGTGCCCCGCCCCGCCCCGCCCGCCCCGGGCGATCGTTTGAGCTCCTCCTCCGGTCTTCACCCCTGGAACCCAGCCCAGGCCCAGCCTCCCGGACACACCGACGCTCACGTAGTCTGGTGGCAGTGCTCTCCGATGCGGCCAGCGCGCTGGGGCGGGGGCGTCTCCGCGGCCCGGAAGGTGGGTGCGGCAGGGCACTGGCGGCTCGGTGGAGGCGGGCGGCATAGCCCCGCCCACTGCAGACCTGGGCAAGGGCGAGGGGAGCCTGGGGGGCGCACCAGCCCAGACGCCCTTTGGAAGGGGTGTGGATAGGACTGTAGCTGAGGGCCCAGGAGGAAATAGCAGACGGTGTGGGGCCTGGCAGGGTATTGTTGCCTGAAGAAGAGGAGAAGGTGGGAACCGGAGAGTTGCTGAAAGTTGGCAGAGCCTGTGGACTGTGTGGACAGGGACTCCGGGATCCCAAGCAGGGGCTCGGGCTTCAGGCTGGGGAAGGAGGAGGAGGAGAGGAACTGATTGGATTGGCAGTTGCGCAGGAGCCAAGACTAAAGGGAGGACAGCTGGAGGACGCACCACAAAAGTAGTTGAGGTATGCAGGGAAACGTGGGAAGACAATCGTCAGGTATTGTTATCTGCACAGAGTGACAGCTCGCAGGAACCTCGGGAAGAATTCTGCAGCCCAAATAAGCTGAGCCCTAGAGCACAACGCCTTGGAGGCGTTCTTTCTTATGTAGGGCTCTGTTCTCCTGGGACATTTTTAGATGGCAATGGTCTATCCCACTTCAATTTACTCAAATATTTATCTCAAATGGTTGCTGATCACAAGATGGAAGGGTGCAAATACTTCATGGCTGTAAACAAAGTTCCCACAGTCTGAGTACAAACAGGAAAGCTATCAGCTGAACCTTTGGGGAGGAATGAAGAATTGCTGAAGGGGGGGGGGGGTGGTCATGCCTTGTAAACTGGTTGTGAACAGTTTTCTAATGTACTTTGGTGGTTAGTGTTCAGTGTTGCTGGCAGGTTGTTGTACATCTGATTTTACTGTCTTATCAAGAAGAATGGGAAAAAAATGCCTTGGCCCAGTACAAAAAAAAAAAAAAAAAAAAATTGCTTCCTACAAAAAGAACAGCCAGAAAAGTTGGTAGCTCAGGAGCCTTACACTGGGAAGGAAGGTCTTGTGGTTATTTTCTGAGCAGGTCTGGTATTTTCATAAGAAAAACCACCATGACGTCTCACCTGGCCAGCTGTCTTGAGAAAGTGTGTTGTTGTAAGTGTAACAGAAAGAGCTTGGGCCAGGAGCACTGACCCTGCTCTCTGTGCAGCCCGTTCCCTCCACCAGCACAGCTGACCTCTGAAGCTTGTGCATGGGACCACAGTGCTCCAGAGCCTGTGCCGCAACTCGTGTCTTGTTTTGCTGGTTCTGATATGTGTCCATATTCTGGTTCTGGTTTTGGTCCTGGGACAGGGCTCTGCCTGGACCAGCCAGAGAGTCTGGCAGGAGGTCCTGAGGTACATGTTGGCACAACCTGCCTGGCAACTGATCATTTTCATGCCATTTCCTCATGAAGCACCTGCCCAGGTGTCTTCCTTTCAGGGACTTAAAAGTATTACTTTGGACATCTTGGTAGTTCAGTAATTCTGGGTGTTGCTGTCCCTGTCACAATCTACTGAGGACTTCCTAGGCAGAATGGTTAAAAAAGCCTACCCCAAACCAGCATCTTGACACACGCATTCTTGCAAGATAAGTCAGAGAGCCAGAATCCACTGCATGGACAGGCAAGGCGGTGCCCGGTCACAATGTGCTCCCGACTGAGGCCACAGGGGTAAATGTTCTCACCTGCAGTGATGGTGACACAGTGAAAAAGCAAAAGGACTCTGGGCCAGGGTTGCTTGTGCAATCCCCCGGGGCAGTAGTCCTGCCAGTGGTGATTTGGGGCCATCAAAACCTTACATTTGCCTTTCTTGGAAGAATCGTGCAAGAACAGTTTGGCTCTTGAAAATGCCAGTGGAATGTTTAATCAGCTCTGTCTCTGGCCAGAATCTTTCTCTCCACCTCGAGTCCTGCTTGTTCTTACAGCTTGGTGATAAGAGAGATCCCGGGAGCAAATGTACACCACAGGGCCACAGCAGTGCAGCCTGACCAAGGTCTCGTGTGCGCCATGTGTGGTCAGAACTTGGGAGAGGTGTTAGTGAGCTGGAGGTGTGTAGTCTGGGTCCTCTCACTTGGCCATTCTGTTGCCACAGTGTCTTGAGAGTTTCTCAATCTTTTTCTGATGAACATATTTAAAGGTATACAGGAAGCTGAAGTTGGTTTGTTAGAAGCCCAGAGAGAACTTGTGCTTGACACTGCTGACTCAGGCCAGGAGGAAGAGGGGGGTAGGGGTAGACCTCCTCCTCCCCTACTCACCCCCAGAGTTTCCTGGATGGGCTAAGTGGGATACTTTGCTGGGATACAAAGTGTGGATGTTGTGTGGTTATTTGGTTTTAATCCATATTAAAAAACAAAACAAGCTGGACATGGTGGCCCACACCTATAATCCTAGCACTCAGGAGGCTGAGACAGGAGGATCACCAGGAGTTCAAGGCCAGCCTGAGCTACATGGTGAGGCCTTGTCTCAAAAGAAAACAAAGTAGAACATAGATCTCACCTCTATGTTAAATCAGAGGTGAAGTTGGTCACACACCTGTAATCCTCACACTTGGAAAGCTGAAGCAGGCAGGCTACTGTGAGTTCAAGAGCCTGACCATAAATAGAAAGTAAAAAAATAAAGTTAGAACTGAAGATGTAGTGCTAACACTTCTAACATAAACATTTGGGAGTAGAGAAGAAAAACCAAAATTCAAGTAATTTTAAGACTAGGGTCTTTTTCTATTTTAATATCTTAGGTAGTCAACCCATTGGTTCTGTGTAAAGCCATCTTGCCCAACTGAGTAAGCACTTTCCTTTCCAGAAATATTGCATGGATACAAGAACAGATATCATTGCTGAATTCTTATTATTTTCTTTAGTGAAATTCTGTATCATTTCTAATGCTTTTTTTGTTTATTCTTTTTTTATTCTTTTCAAAAAAATAATGTGAAACAAGCAAACAAATAAAAAGAACAGACAATAGCCGGGCATGATAGTGTACATCTATAATCCCAGAACTTGGGAGGCTGAAGTAGGAAGATCACCATAAATTTGAGGTCTTCTTGGGCTATACAGTGAGTTCTACTAGCCTGAACTACATAGCAAATCCCTGTCTTTAAAAAAAAAAAAGATAATAGATAAATTTGCCCTATTTTTTTCATAGATTGACTTGGTTAGAGAGGAAACAGTAAGATAAATGTCCTTTAAAATGAATGTTTTAATAGCTGATTATGGTCATTCTTTTTTGTCTCTGAACTTGTGTTCTTCCAGTTGGTCACAGCTAAGTGTTTTTCGTGCATTCTAGGAAAGTGCTGTTCTTTAAAAAAAAATGGTATCAAACCTGATGTCTTTGTCCTTTTTTCACTTTTTCATGATGTGTTCAGGTTAATCAAAATCAGAAGGTGAAATGAAACACTTTTTGTTAGGCCAGACCAGTGGTCTCCAGCTCTCATCAAAAGCTGCCCATCACTTTGTCTGTCATTTTTGATCATCAGTGGCACTGGGTATTTTGGCAGTTTCAGGTATATAGTAGTGCCTCCTGCTCCACAGTGGACATATTTGAAAATAGACCCACCATGAATGCCTAAGTCACAGAGGATACTGAACACCCCAGGTGCTGTGTTTTTCCTCTATGTCATACAGAATGACCACATAAGACCAGAGCTAACCTATGTTGACATTTTCTCCCCACATCTGTTCTTGATCTATAGCTTTATCACCTCTAATTTGCACATTTATAATATAGTATAAAATTTTCCCATACCACTTAAATCTTTTCCATAAATGAATTCGGTGATGATATAAAAATAAATAGCATAGACGTAACATAGGTGAGTTAACCAGGTACCTGTTAGTGGTCAGTCTCTAACATCTGCCATAATGAATATTTTAGTAGATTAATTTACAATCACTTTGAACTGTTTACTTAAGATGAATACCTGTATGCAATATCCAAAGAAAGATAACATTTTTAAAGGTTGTCTCAATTGAGAAGGATAAAGACATTATCTTTCTAAATTCAATAATTATAAATGAGCATCTTTTCTAATCTAAGTCTCTTACACCTATTTTAATGTTGGACATTGCATATGTATGAGACTCTTTTCAATTTATTCCATGAATTTTCTGTTCATACTTTTGCTCATTTTTGTGTGTGGACTGCTTGATTTTATTTCTTTGTAAGAGCTCTTTGTATATTAGGGTATTCACTATTTTCTGCCATGCTTTTGTAAAATATTTTCTCAGAGTATGTTGTACTGTTTTGGACTTTATGACTTTTGTCAAGTTATAGAAAAATGCAATTTTTAGTCAGATTTAATCCCTTAGAGCATGATTCTGTTGTTCTCAGAATAACTGTTTGCACTGATATCAAAGGCAAAAAGCTCACAAATATGAAAGACTTAAACTTATTAAATTATGGTTCTTTTTATAAAAAAGCATGCTAGAATATGAAAACTTACCATGATTTCATGAAAAGCAGCTTGCGTCTGTCTCCTTAATTGAATCCCAGTGCCTATACATGCAGGATGGGATACTGCTCAGCCATAGAAAAGCATGGCGTGCTCCCATTTCAGGCAATGTGCTGAGCCTGGAGGGCGCTACATAAAGGGCAATAAGCCAGGCACAGAAGACAAATTCCACCTGCTCTCACTTACGTGTGGAATCTGTAACAATTCCACTCCCTGAAACACCGAAGAATGCTGGGCCTGGGCACTGAGGGGAGTGTGGAGATCTTAACCAAAAGACACAGAATTGTATTTCAATAGGAGGCATAAATTCAGTAGAGCTACCTTACCTCATAGTAACTAAGCTTAATGAAAATATATGTACATGGGGGCAGGGAGATGGCTCAGTAGAATAAGCGCTTCCCTGGCAAGCGCAAGGGCCTGAGTTCAATCCCCGGTTCTGCATAAAAAAAAAGAAAGAAAATATATGTACAGTACTGGAACATTGCCAAGAGAATATATTTTAAGTGTTTTGTACACACACACAAACACACACACACAATAATGTATATGCTAATAACTTATTTTGCCAGTACACTGTATTTTATGCTGTAAATATTTACAGTATCTGCTTGCCAGTTGATAAATCAAAATACCAGTCTTTACCAAACTGTGCTCCTTAGGTCACCTGTCTGTACTGTACTTACCCACAAGGGGTGTTTTAGTCAGGTGGGTGTGAGAGGGCCTGCAAACAGGGTGACTGTGTGGCTGGCTCATCAGCATACTGAAGAGCTCAAGACAGAAGGACCTATGAACGTAACTTTAAAACTAGAGGCTTTCATGCTTTTGTGTGTTTTCTACTTCCAACATCCCTCCTCCAGCACATTCATACAAACACACACACTTATTCTTCCCTGAAACCCACATCTTGTGAGACCACCCTGGAGTTAGCACGGACCCGTGTGCGCCCAGGTGAAAGGAGATACTGTTCAGCGTGCTCTGCTGGGATGAGTCATTTAAGCATCCATCTGACCTCTTCCCGTTTTCTGTCTTTTTCCCTTCTGCCAGGGTGCTTGCCTGTTCCTCCCACCCCGCGATGGCAGTGGACATTGAGTACAGGTACAACTGCATGGCCCCCTCCTTGCGCCGAGAGCGGTTCGTCTTCAAGGCCTCGCCAAAGCCAAGCAAGCCGCTGAGGCCTTGCATTCAGCTGGGCAGCAAGGATGAAGCCAGCGGATTGGTAGCCCCTGCCCTCCAGGAGAAAAAAGTGAAAAAGCGTGTGTCCTTCGCGGACAACCAAGGGCTGGCCCTGACAATGGTCAAAGTGTTCTCAGAATTTGATGACCCGTTAGATATTCCGTTTAACATCACCGAGCTCCTAGACAACATTGTGAGTTTGACGACAGCAGAGAGTGAGAGCTTTGTCTTGGACTTTTCACAGCCCTCCACAGATTACTTAGATTTTAGAAATCGACTTCAGGCTAACCGCGTCTGCCTGGAAAACTGCGTGCTGAAGGACAAAGCCATCACAGGCACCGTGAAGGTTCAGAACCTCGCATTCGAGAAGATCGTGAAGATCAGGATGACATTCGACACCTGGAAGAGCTTCACAGACTTCCCTTGCCAGTACGTGAAGGACACTTACGCCGGTTCAGACAGGGACACCTTCTCCTTTGACATTAGCTTGCCTGAAAAGATTCAGTCTTATGAAAAGATGGAGTTTGCCGTGTGCTACGAGTGCAATGGCCAGACGTACTGGGACAGCAACAAAGGCAAAAACTACAGGATCATCCAGGCTGAACTGAAGTCCACTCAGGTCGAGCCGCAGCACGGGCCGGATTTTGGCATATCCTTTGACCAGTTTGGAAGCCCTCGGTGCTCCTATGGTCTGTTTCCAGAGTGGCCGAGTTACTTAGGATATGAAAAGCTGGGGCCTTATTATTAGTGACTGCAGTTGACAGGTTGTGGCCCTGGTCACCCTGGGCTGGTGAAGCCAAGAGAAGAGCAAAGCTGAACTGCCATCAGGCACAGTTTAGGAAAAGGAAGGATCCTGTTCACTTTTTTCTGAAACCAGCAAATTCAGCCAGGTTCAGCTCACAGAACTAGCTTCTCACTCAGAGGTGACACTCCAGTCCCTTGTGACACCTGAAGCAGCCACAAGAATGAGCAGAGCGGTGCCAGGAAGGGTCTGGAAAGGAACAAAGCCTGTGGGTAGTGCTGCCGAAGCTAGAGGAGCCTGCTTCCTGCTTGCATCCAGAGACAGAAAGTGGTGACCTGGAAGTTGCTCAGTCCTCAGTCACCCCAGTGGGACCCCCACAGTTTGCCCACCTTTAGTGGTCTCCACCATCCAGGCCTTTCCTGCTGCTTGGACCACCCAACCATCACTGTGACAACCAACAAGATGTCACAGCTACAGAGGACAGATGCAATCTGCTCCTTTTCCTGCAAGTTCATTTTTATTGCATTTCATTTTTTTTCTTCACAGTTCATCTGATGCTCCGAAGAAGAGAATAAAGGCAAATAAATAGCCTGTGACTGAGAGAGGCATTTCCTCTCCCCTCGTCCTGACCCCGCATCTATATTCCAGCAGGCAGCAACAGTCTAGCGATGGAAAATCCTAGGTGGGGTTATAGATGGCAGGGCGACCACGAGGCAGGGCAGTCGGTGCACAGGACACATGAGCTTTTCCTCTTGGCTTTTTGGAAGAGCTTTCGAAGCACTTGCCGCCACCCTGGGTCACTGCAAGGCACAGTGACATGATTTGTTTTCACTTGCTTGGCTGGCTTGTGAGCCTCATTCTCTCACAAAGAACTGTAGATCCCTCTTCCCCCAGAGTCCTCTTGATTCTGTGTTTAGAACATTTGATTTACAGATCCACGAAGCCCTCAAAAACTGTCTGGTCTTATTTTGCCTGCAATGTCCAGGACACTTTGCAAGCACCCAAGGACATTAGCTCGGGTGTTCTTATTTATGGTGTGCTAGTACGGAAAGGGGTGGGGGCAAATCCTCGTCACGTTGCCCTATGTTTAAAAGTTTGCCAACTCTGTAAAAGCAGTGGTCAGTTGTTCTTAACCATGCTGGACTAAAAGACATGAGAGAATGCTGTTGTGAGACTCCTGGGACCTTCACTGTCGGGTGGGGTCCCCAAACCTGTGATTTTTCTTGGGCAAGATTGGTTTTTACTTAGGAGTATTTGACTAATATTTTTACATGTGTATTTGTAGACATTTTGATTTTTCTTCTTGGTTTTGGAGTTTGGTTAAGGAACTATTTGAGTCTATTTGCCTGATCTTACTAAAAGTGAGGTTTCTCTTAGGCTCACAGAAAAAAGGGAATACATCGCCACTGACATGTGGAGGCACAGGGCTGGACTTGTCAAGCAGTGCCTTGCGCTTGAATTTTCCAGATGAAAAAGAGCTCCTGCTTGCTGTGGCTTTGGAATCCGTGTCCTGCCCGTATCGAGCACCTTTGCTCCTGGACTTTGGTAGCTGGGGACTATTTTTTTTTTTTTTTAATTTTCATTTTGAACTTCTATTTTCATTTTGAACATTCAGTTTTAACTGTTTAAATGCTAAGTGGTATTTGATGTAATTCTTGTTCCTAAAACTAGCTGTTACTAGTCCACAATCTAGGGCTTTATGTTTTGTACCTCCCCCGAGGGGATGGCACTTTGGGAATACATGATAGTGTAATTTATGGGGAAATCACATTTGTATTTTATGCTGAAATTGGGTGAGACTATGTTTTATCCAAGCATCAGGTACACAAAATGGTACCTTAAATGTTACAGAACTATTAATAGTATAAATCCAAATCCGGTAGAAGCCAAACTGATCTCACATAGGTCCCGAGTTTTATTTTGGGTTAAGAAGTGCCCCCGCCCCCAGTGTAGGAAAGGGACAAGGTGCTATTTACAGGTTGCCAGAGTAAGGCTGATTCTGCATTCTAAAGAAAAGGTCCTCAAGTGACTCCAGAATACAGTCTTCTGGTTTTGTGTAACAATGATCCCAGGACATTCCCTGTCAAAATTTGAAATATGGTAATTCAGTGATAAACATCTCTCCTAAAGCAGCTGTACAGCCCCCACCCCTTATTTCTCCCTGTTTGCCCCAGCTTTTTTGCTGGGGGCACTGGTTAGAGGCCCCCAGCTTACACACCTGGGGTACACACCCCACTTCTCTGTTCAGAAAGCAAGTCTTCCCTTGCCTGCAGAGACCCTGCTTCCCCTCAAAGAGCCTACTTGCCTGACTTCAATGATGAGGACAAAAAAAAAAAAAAAAAAAATTAAAAATGATGAGGACTGTCACTTATGACGCCCTAAAGACTCTGCCTTCTGTGGTTTCCCCCTGCCCCACCCCTTCTCCATTTGGCCTAGTCTGCTGCCTGTGGCACTCTCAGAGGGCCTTTCAGATGCATTGACAGTCTCTCCCTTTCTTTGTTCCTACCTCACCACTGACACCTCCACGTATCAGAGGCTGACAGGCTCCTTAAAGTCTTGGCTGCACCGCCCTGGACCTTCGACTTCGCACCACTCTTGGTTATGATGGTGAATAGTCCCCAGTCTTCATGTCTTTCCCCTCACCCTAAATTCCCAGCCTCCTGTCACTGTACCATAATGCTGTGGTTTGAGACCCACAAAGCTACTCCATTTTTGTTTCATATTTATTTTCCAAAATTCCCAAGGGCACTTTTGCAAATAGGGTGCAATAAATAAGCTGAACTATATAAAATATATACTAGTGAGCTTTCAACATTTCTTGGAAGATGTGTCTTGGAAGCAAAGGAGTGGGCTTTTTAAAAACGATTCTTGTTAGAAGAGAGCTATGAAAAAGAATGGAGCTCTATAGTTCAGAAACTGCTGGGTGTGGTGGTACATGTCGTTGGGAGGCTGAGGCAGGAAGATTGTTGTGATTTGAAGCCAACCTGGGCTAAAAAGTGAGCTCAAGGCCAGCCTAAACTGCAGAGCAAGACCCTGTCTCAAAAAGACAAAAAAAAAATAATAATAATTAAAAATAGTTCTCCAGGAATGAAAATATTCTGAGTCAATGGTGGAACTTATCTCTAGGTTTTATTTTATTTTTTTTTTTTTTTGAGGGAAAGGGGAAGCCTTTATTAACTCTGAAGACACAGAAAGGATTGAGGGCAGGAAGATGGGGAGATGCTTTTCAAAGTTTTGATTTTAATGGTGATAAAAATGATGTTTTTGAAGATGTAAGTTTTGAACCACTTTGTAGTTTTTGATCCTTAGGTATCATGTGCTTTTTAAAAACAAGTATTCTTGGTAGTCATTGGATGTTATATGAGTTTCAATTGTTCCTTGTTTTAGAAGTGCCCAGTTTGTGGGTCTTCTCTCCCCAAAGATGTCATTGCAAACCTCTGTTGTCTTTCTAAATCCTTGCACTGGATGCAGTCCCAGAGGCTCTTGGCCATGGTTGTGGGTAATGAGGGGCCGCATCTAATTGTCTCTCCCCACAGGATTACTAAAATTGGGGATAAGAAGGGATCTTGCCCATAGTGGGATCGTAAGGGTTTCATGAAGATGATCTGGCAGCTTATCTTAGTTTCCTGAGTGGGACAGCACATCAGGGATAATCAGTTTCTACTGGTCATGGTTGTAAGTTGCAAAGTTGTGAACGCTTTTCCAGTTGTGTTGATTGGTTTGGAGACCCTGCTGGGTGTGTGGGGGCTGGGCGAATGCAGCTGTGATGGTGTTTCAGTTTTACCTCGATGTAAATGTAGAATTGGGGACTCATCTTCATTTTATGCCTAAAAGTGCCTTATCAAGAAATTTCTGCATGTTTTTTAAAAATAAATATTTTTGTACACAAAGTTAAAGGGGAAATGCACTTTACAGAAAATCACAATAATGGCTGGGGTTTTCTTTGTGCGTGTGCGTGTGTGTGTGTGTGTGTGTGTGTGTGTGTGTGTGTGTGTTTGGTACAAGAGAGTGATTTGTTTGTATCTATCTCAAAAGCAAGAAGAAATAAAGATAGAAAAAAACAAAATTCAAACTGTCCTTCTATTCTTAGAGCCAGAGAAAGGGGAACAATATTTTACATCAGTCCTTCCACATGCAGATCTTGGGCTTTTGAAGGTTTCAGTCACAATCAATGTCTGCAGGAAAGCCAAACTGTGAGGCTGGGAGGAGGCACTAACTGCTTTTTAAACTGTCCTGCAGTGACACCAGTCAAGCTGAGAAGACAGGTTCTAGGGAGGAGATGCGAGGGCCATGGATGCTTTGCACCAGGGTCACTCTCTTCCCTCTCGCTTGCTCTTCAGTGTAGAGCAGACAGATGTACCCTGACGGCTGTGGAGAACTTGGGCGACTGTCACAGCTCTGCAGTGGTGAAACCTTGAGCACCAAAATGGACCTGCTCCTGGGAATGCTTCCCCTCTGCACTGGAGAGCAGTCCATCACCCTAAGGGAGGTGTGTATCGCAAAGCTCAGAGGAAGGGATGGAGGGGAGAGAGGCAGGCTGCAAACCTCCCCCAGCTGTGTCACCTGCCTCAGGCCCTGCCACCCTGGAAGGTGAGTGGTGGCTCTGCTGTGAAACACAGAGGAGGCGGATGCACAGCAGCCAGGGTGCAGTCCCAGATGGGAGTGCCGTACACGCCTGTCTTTCTCAAAATGTTCAAACACTGCCCCCAGCAAGCCCTCACAGAAATGACAGGGGGACAATAACACTGCTTTCTATCAGTGTCTAAGACTTCAGCTTTCGTAATCATCACATAAATGTGAAGCCATTGGGCTGACCAAATAGCTCAGGGGATTAAAGTGCATGCCGGCATGGCAGGTCCCGTCCCTGGGGCACGCTGAGATGAGTTGAGACTGGGTGTGGGGTCCAGTGCCTGTAATCCCAGCACTTGGGAAGCTGTAAACAGGAGGATCACTACGAGTCTGATCTAGTAGTGAGACCCTGAACACCCTGTAGACCCTTCCCTAAAATACAGAAAAAAATAAATGTGAAACCATCACCAGAACTCTGAGAAGGTCAGAGTATGAAAGCAAAGCCACTTTCCTGCAGCCGCGTCCCCAGGAACAGCAGCAGAGCAGCCCTGCAGCATTAGGCTGCCCACTCGCTGCCCACTGGCTGTGTACAGGAGGGTCTCGGAGCTCTTTCCACCCAGCTCTGTTCTCTGGGGTCCCCTGGTAAGCGTGGAAGCTGCAGAAAGGCAGGGGACATTGGGAGATCTGTGTCCTACCCCTGTCTCTGAGCTAACCATTGAGGCCCTTTTCCCTAACAACCGCCCATCTGAAGGGACCTGCATGTGCTGAGGAGGAAGGAAGGAAGGAAGGAAGGAAGGAAGGAAGGAAGGAAGGAAGGAAGGAAGGAAGGAAGGAAGGAAGGAAGGAAGGAAGGAAGGAAGGAAGGAAGGGAGGGAGGGAGGGAGGGAGGGAAGGAAGGAAGGAAGGAAAGGAAGGGTCGGCCTTGAAATTGCCCTGAATATTTCTGAAGTTGGCCAGCATCTTTAAAAGGGTTCTAAATATAAACTGCAAAAAGTTCCCTGAGTACTATGTGCATTCTTTTGGAGACTCACAGAACACAACAGCATTCCAATCACTTAGACTTCATTAAAATCATCACTGTTCAGGCTGAATGCAATAGTAAAGAGAGAAGCTCACTTCCACAGAGACCGAGATGGCAGTTCTCAGTGGGTTTCTGCAGGTCATCAGAAGGACAACATAGATCTTGTTCTGTTTTTCCAAGAACTGTCCACATGAACCAGAATAAGTTCCTCAGATCTGAGAGACAAAAAGGTGATTCAGAAAAGCAGCCCCTTTATGTTGCAGCAACATAGCTCCCAGGGCAGGTGGCCGGGGCTCTCGTTATGCAAGGGGAGGAGGGGCCTCCAAGGCCTTCCTCAGCGTGCACTAGGACACAAGCATTGAGTCTGCAGGAAATGGCATGGCTCTGGGGGAGCTCACTGGACCTCAGAAAGTGACAGGAGGAAACCACCAGTGGGGCCTAGGGCTACAGGGGTTCAAACAAAAGAGCAGGATTCTTGGCCTCTAGGGATTCTCTTCCCCAAAAATAGAAGCCCTGCTATAGCACAGCACAGGACAGCTTTAACGAAACCTCATTCCTCATTCTTCTGGTTGCCACGTTTGGAGGGACAGGAAGGGAGTCTCAGCAGCTGCGCTGGCCATCGCCAGAGACTCCGTTGAATTGCACACGAGTGAATGCTATTTCCCAGACACTGGTGAGCCTTCTAGCATTGGACTGGTGCTGGCCCTTGGGTTGGACAGAAGTAGGGCAGGGATAAGAGCTGGCACCTTCTTTTGCCACCAAAGATGGCCATAATGCTCTTAAATTCTGGTCCCCCTACCCCAAAGTGACAAGACCACAGAGCCGAATCCAGGGTCAGCATCCTTTATCTACAAGCACTGAATCATAAATAGTTTAGGTTTTGTGGGCCACATGCAGTCTTTTCCTTTTTTGTTTTGTTTGAAAATGTAAAGACCATTCTTCACTTATGGCCCATCCACAAAGAGGACAGGGCTGATTTGTCCTGTAGGTCATAGTTTGCCCATTCCAATGAAAAGTCATCTAGGAGGAGACTTGAAAAGTTTCTTAGAGGCAGGAGGCTATTTTCAGTTGCTTTTATTTAGTGACCATATAATTTATGGTGAAAACTGGGACACTTTGGGAATGAATAAGGCTGCTATTATTAATTACCTTGGGGCACTCAGTGGGTCTAGGAGTAAGTCATATGGGCAAGCCCCACTGCTAGAACCCTGCCAGTGCTCACCTATCCCCCATCAGCCCTTTAGGGTCTTCTCAGACCTGTGGAGAGCTCAGAAAGCACAGGATCATCCAACGCAGGCATCATTTCTGGCTGAATAGTGCCTTTGGGGAAGGGTGAATTATAACAGAGTGGTGATTTAGTCTGTGGTTTAGATATGTTTTTGTTGGTTGAGTTTTCTGTTCCCTAATTGTAGTGCTAAAGGCCAAAAGCCCTCTGAAAATTATAGTCAATTCACTTTAACAGTAGTATGTCTAGGAGAAAAGGGGTTATTACTGGTTTGGGCTTATTTCCTACCACTACTTTCCCCCTCACACCCCACCCAATCCTCATGCCCAACAAGTAGGCAATGCTCACTGTGGACAGAGACAGAGCTGAATCTAGCAGTCTTCCAACCCCAAGGCCCCAGGAAGTAGCCCGCAAATGATCCTTGGAATTTTGCCTGCTGCAGGGTCTCAGCTCATCTTTCTTGGGCCCAGAAAGTTCAAGAACCCTGAAGTACCATAGTAGCCCAAGGAGA